GAAGCAGAGTTGCAATCTTCTCGTGCAGCAACCCCCCCACCCCCCCGGACGCACAGAGTCTGAGCCAGCGCCCAGGACAGCCTTGGAGACCGTGTCCCGGAGCCCCCGACTCCAAGAGCCTCGAGGGCAGGGACTACTCATAAAAAATATATATGTTTTTATTGACTTTAGAGAGAGGGGGAGGGAAAGAGAGAGAAAGAGAGAAAGAGAAACATCAATGCATCGGCATCGTTTAGCTGCCTCCTGCACGTCCCCCACCACCCGGGCCTGTGCCCTGACCAGGAATCCAACCAGGGGCCTCTTGGTGCATGGGTCAGTGCTCAACCACTGAGCCACACTGGCCAGACAGGGACTACTTTTTATTTAGTTAGTTTATTATTTTAAAATATATATATATTTTTTATTGATTTCAGAGAGGAAGGGAGAGGAAGAGAGAGATAGAAACATCAATGATGAGAGAGAATCATGGATGGGCTGTGTCCTGCACGCCCCCTACTGGGGACCGAGCCTGCAACCCAAGCCTGTGCCCTGAACGGGAATCGAACCTGGGACCCTCCAGTGCGCAGGCCAACACTCTATCCACTGGGCCAAACCAGCTAGGGCGGGACTACTTTTTAAAAATTAATTTTAATTGTGATAAAATGTCCACAACAGAAAGTTTGCCATCATAACCATTTTTAAGTGTATGATTCTGTGACGTTAGGTATATGCACAAACCATCACCCCCATCGGTCTCCAGAACTCTTTGGTCTGACAAAACAGCAACCCTGTGTCCATTAAACACCAGCTCCCCACCTTTCCAGTCCCTGAAAGCCACCACCCTACTTTCTGTCTTTCTGGACTGACCGTGTCTGGTACCTCGTACAAGGGGACTCACAACAGACTTCCCTCTCGTTCCTGACTTATTGCACTCAGCACAGTGTCCTCAGGACGTGTCCTTCCTTTCTGTGGCTCAGTACTGTCCCCTCAGAGGGACAGACCGCATTTGTTCGTTCCCCCTGAAGGGCGCTGGGGCTGCTGCCCCCTGCTGGCTGCTGTGGGTAATGCTGCCATGACTTGGTGTGCGAGATCAGTCCCTCTTCAGAACCCCAGAAGCGGGAGTGCGGGGTCCTGTGGCAATTTCACGCTCAGTTTCTCGAGGACCCGCCACAGTGCTCTCCACAGTGGCTGCCCTCTGTGCCTCCCGCCAGCAGGATGCAGCCAGGGCTGCGTCTCACTTCACTCCGCCTTCCTGCGCCCGGAACGGCGCCTGCGGCGGGGGTGCTCAGAGGGTGTCCGTGGGGTGAACCCCGAGGGAGGGAACTGCCTGGGCTGTGGCTGGGACGAGCTGGGTGGACACGGTCAGCAGGAAGCGCCACCCAGGACCACCCAGGGGCCTGAGCTTGGACTTGAGTTATTCATTTTCCAGCTGACATGCCAGAGGGCGTCCACTGCCTCCTCAGAGGACTCGGGCTACACCTTCTCAAACCTTGTCAGCCCTTGGCTGCCAGGACGGATTCTTCACGTTTAAAAACAGCCCCATGCTTGGCTGGCGTGCTCAGTGGTTAGAGCACCGGCCCTCAGACTGAAGGGTTGAGGGTTCGATTCTGGTCAAGGGCGCGGACCTCGGTTGCAGGTTTGAGCCCGGCCCCGGTCAGGGTGCTGCGGGACGTAACCCACAGGTATGTCTCTCTCCCAGCGACGTCCCCCTCCCTCCCCTCTGGCTGAAAACCAAGAGAAAACATATCCTCAGGTGAGGATTAAAGAAAGTAAAAATAAAGAACGCCCCCAGGTTTCTGCTTGTTCCCTGGAAAGCGCTGGCGGGGCTGGCCTGTGGTCCTCGCTCACTCCGCGTCTCCCTCGCCTAAAAGGAGGGCTGCCCCCCGATGTGCGTTCCAGGTGCAGGGACAGGAACCGAGAGAAACGCTTGCACGGCCGAGTGGAGGGGCGGAAACCAGCTGGCGGGGAAAGTGGCAGGAAACCCGCGAGGCCAGCGCTGGTGGCCGCCCGCAGGAGGAGGAGCAGAACCCAGGGCTGGCCGGAGCACAGGCTGGCGCAGCAGCCCAGAGTGAGGGACCCAGGCCGGGACCCCGAGGGACCCCGGAGAGCCCAGAGGGCAGATGTGCACAGGGAGGGGCCTCGCCGGTGCCCGGGCTCACGAGGTGGGCGAAGGAGGCAGTGCGTGCGGGACACAGACCTGGGCAGACCCGTCCAGCCGGTTCGCCCTCCTGCTCGGAGCCGCTGCCGTCCACCTGCCCCCTTGGCACAGAGCGAACGCCCAGCGGGTGCTGCATAAACGAGCATTGATGGCTCACAGGACAGGGAACACAGGAGCCTGTGGGTGACTCTGCAAGACAGTCTGTGCCACTTCCTTCTGGGACGTTGGAAAACAGAATCCAATTACCGTGGTTTCCAAACACTGTGTACAGAAGCAGGAACACATGTTCCATTTACAGGAGAGAGAGGCATCCGTTTCAGAAAAGATAGATGACCGCTTTGCATCTCATTCATCTACTGAGCAACTGCTATGGATATAAAGATAGCTGCTCACCGCGGTGACGGCCGGGCTGCAGCCTCAGGTCACCCCCAGCGCCGCCCAGTCCTTGCCAGGGCGCGGACTTCGTCGGCGATGGTGTTCTCCCAGCTGGTTCCCCGCCCGCCTCCTCGTTCTCCGCCCCTTTGCTTTGTTCTAGAACCTGGAGGGGGAGGGGGATGTGGGGACGAAGAAGCGGAGAAAGACTCGGCCTGGTTCTGTGCCCAGCGGCCTGGTTCTGTGCCCCGCGGCCTGGGTTCTGTGTCCTGCAGCCTGGTTCTGTGTCCTGCAGCCTG